ATTTAAAAAACTGAATATAACTATGAACCAGTAAAACACCAACAGCTTCACATGAGGAAAATATTTTATTTAAGATCTGCAGGATTTTAAATCACAGTTAAGGCTTACCTTAAGCTCCGAGTTGGGGTTTGCAACAAGTTGCTGCTCCTCCTTGGCTCGTCCATATCGATCTATCACTGACTTCATGCTGCAAGAATTTGATCGAACAGCACACCAATAAGAACAAATTGATATGTAATTTGCAAACAATTACTGTACTCATGTGAGGTCTGGGTGAACATGGTTCTCACATAATACCCGAAACCCCTAGATCTATATTACTTCATTTTGACGAGGAGATATACGTTTTCTTCATTCCAGTGTCTAGCTAGGATCAAGCTAAGAATGCATGGAGAATAGCAAATACATAAGAGGCTAGATAGAAGGTATAGAAAGGATATAAAGAGAAGATGTGTAATTTTTTAAGCTGTTTCTAAAAGGAAACAATTTGTAACAGTATTCTTGTTACTCAAGGCCGCTGTATGCATATGTTACAGGCAGCTGTACTCTTGATGGTTGGTGGCTTGTGCAGATGAGCACAAATATATTTTCGAAAAGTTTTCTCAAAAATTTAAAATAAGCTTTCAAAGGTGAAATCACAGGCATCAGAAGCTAATCAACAAAACAAGCATGTAGTTTTCATGATCAAAGTAGCTTGCTTTTTCTGATAAAACGGGAAAGCAAACTGAAGCAATGGAATCCATTGACCTGGAGCTGGCGTACTCATAGAGGCGGCCGGTGCTGGAGAAGATGACGAGACCGACCTCGGCATCGCAGAGAATACCCAGCTCCTTGGCCTTCTTGAAGATCCCGTTCCTCCGCTTCGAGAACGTCACCTGCCGGCTCGTGGAGTTGTCGATCCGCCGGATCACTATCTTGCCCCGCCCCATCTTCAACTACCTCCCACACGCAGAGGACAAGCTAAGCTACCCGGTGCAGAGCAAGATGGCGATGGAGATAGATAAGCTGGGTGGATCTAGCTGCCGGAGCTCTGGAAGGAGAAAGTTCCCAGGTTTCCCAGATAGGCTGATTGGAGGGGGTGAGAGGAAGAGGAAGGGGGAGAGGAGTCTTTTGCTGGTGGCTCTGCAACTTGTCTTTCCTTTAGTTGCTCAACTTCCTTAAATTAGCAAAGAAATGGAAGGGGAAAGATACCCCCCGATTGGCTAGGATCGTAAGATAGGTTAGTTTATTGCAAATGTTAAACAACTGATGATAATTATGGGGGCATGGGCCATCTTGGAAAGGATGCCCCAAATTGGTTGCACGCAAGAAAGGTAAAGCAAGGCATTGTACAGTAGTAGATATAAATTTTTATTTAAATACCTTGGATGTCATTTAGGGACAAGTCAAGATATGAGGCTGTCTGTAAAGAGATGCCACCTGGATTTCTTTAGTGGGATGGAGAAAAGAGAACGAAGAGAGAGAATGCGGCTACATGTAACTCTACAAATGGTCTATAAGATTGTACAGACAATATATTTGATTTTGTGTCTTGTTTCGTGCAAATAGTAATGGTGGATATGCGGGAAATTGCGTTTGGCTCCCGAGCTCCATGGAGTGGTTTTTGAAAAATTCAAAAGTCTGCCTTTATAGGTTTCAAAAAGTTCTGAAAAAATACACACACCTATGGATGTATACTACTTGTTTTGTAAAGTATCATGATGAAATGCATTATTGAGCGAGCTACACAAAAATAATAAAATCATATGTTTCTAGCACATGTACTGTTCACTATAAAAGACCATGCACACACAAGGCATTTTAGCAATTCAAGCAACATGCAGAAAATTATGGCTACACATCATAAGTAAATGAATAATCCCTCGCGAAAAATTAAGTAAATGAATAATATAACGTCAGCGACCATTATATTATATGAGCGAAAAATAATATTTTTGGTCTATCAACTATTGCTTAAAAAGAAATTATGGTCCATAGATTCCGGCCGTCTCCTTGAAGTGGTGAGGGCGCTGGTCCTTATTGACACGTGCACGAAGAATTCCTGATTGTTATCGACATGGTCTAGCTGCCTTCGGTAGGGGAGTGGTGACAACGGTGCGTCGACGGCTCGTTCTGACGGCAGTAGTGGTCGTTCGGTGTTCTTAAAATCTCGATGTAATTCTTGTTTGTTCAAGATGCTTCGTACTTCCGGTGCACATTTATAATAGATCAGATCATTTAAAAAATATGTTCGATGAAAAAGAACAAGAAAAAAGGAAACACGTTCGATGCTAAAAGGAAAAAAAAGAAACACGTTCGATGCAAGAAAAAAAAACCCTATGAAAGACGTAGACGATTACGTAGTCTCACGGTCACCTACCTCGGCATTACCTAAGCGCCGCCTTAATCAATGTGATAGCTTAAGCTGCACAGTTGTGGCTACTAGTAGTACGAAAATGATTCTCGTAATTAAACTTATCGCGCTGATCGCGTGGATCTAATATAATGCGGTTGCCGTACTAGTCACATGGGGACCTAGCTTTTTATAATTCCGGCCGGTCCCCGTCGCTGTATAAGAAAGGCAACGTCCTTCCTAGTTTATACTAAATCGAACAAAACGACGCTGGGCCATCGACGGGAATAGCCATGCCGTTCCAAGTCAAGACTCTGCTGCTCTGGCGTAAGCTAACTAGCTAGCTAGCTGGCTATTGCTAATTAAGCAACCTCATGTGATCATGATTTGATTGATTGTCATCTCTGATGCAAAACCGTACTAGTAGTACTTATTAAATGTTAAATTCGACAATACATGTATATATAGAGGAGTGCATATAGATCTACATACTGCACATACTTTCTCCATTTGTAAATACTCCCTCCAGTCCTTTTTATTTTGAATATAAGATTTCTCAGAAGTCAAACCTTGTAAACTTTGACCAGATTTATATTAAAATTTATCAAAATTTACTATACCAAATAAATATAATATGAAAATATATTCTGTGATGGATCTAATAATGTCAATTTTGTATTATGAGTGTTAATAATTTCTTGTATAAAAATGGTCAAACTTCAAAGACTTTGACTGCGGACAAATCTAATACAGAGTAAAAGGAACGGAGGGAGTACCTTGAGTTTGTAAATACCTTGAATATTAGGCTTCGCTAACAAAATACCGATAATTATTGTATTACTATGAGGCTATCTTCTTATGAGACAATTCTGCCAAAGGATGGAGGTGGTATGGGTTTCCAAGACATGTGTTTAGTTAACTAGGACTTGCTAGCAAAGCATCTTGGAGGTTGATTGACACAACCACACAACTTATGAGCGAGGCTACCGAAGGCAAATTATTATCTAAGCAATAGCCTGCTTTTTTGACGAAATATAGCAGCGCTATGTTTCATTTATTAAGAGGAGGAACCGGTAGAGCTGGGAAATTACAAGGGAGTACAAGATAGAGAAGAAACATATCACATCACCTAACACAATGAAAAGGAAAATGAGAAAATTGTGCCGAGGAGACAACAAGGCAAGCACCAAAAAGAAAGAAGAAATGCAGGACCATCAGTTTCCATCATCCTCGACAGTGGGGGGCTGCATAAGAAATATCGCCACATTATACGAAGAGCTCCATTAAGCCGATACCAAACCAAGCTATTGGCATAGCCGAAGGGCAACAAATACTAAGTGCACACCCGAATGAAGGGCCAAGTGCTGCCGAGACTACAACACAACAATGGCGCCGGTTGAAGGGCATCAAGGTGCCGAGTCCACACCCGGATCACTTCGTCGAGCACATCCATCACCGTGATGACAGAAGAGATACCCGTCACCTCCATACCGGATACGACACCAATAGAGAAGAAGAAGAAGAAGAAGAAGAAGAAGAAGAAGAAGAAAAAAAGAAGAAGAAGGGTCAATAAAAAAAAACACACTCTCTCTAGACGTCGGTCAACCGACAAACAGAAGGGCACCAGGTCGATGCCTATGATACGTCTCAAACATATCAATAATTTTTGATTCATACTATTATAATATCTCTTTTAATAACTTTATATCAATTTGTATTATTTTTATAGACTAACATATTAATTCAGTGCCCAAAGCTAGGTGTCATTTTCTGCATATTTTTGGTTTTACAGAAAATTGATATCTTCGGACCAAAAAATACCGTGGGGATTTTTAACGATTTTTTCGAAGGAAGAAGGAACCAGAGGGCAACATAGGGAGGGGGGGGGACCCACAGGCTCTCACGCGGCCAAGGGTATGGTGGGCCCGTCTAGCGCCCCTCTGCACCACCTTTCGCTCATTTATTGCATATAAATCTTAGAATTCCCAAAACCTCTGTACCATTTTTTGTGATTTTTTCACCGCCGCAGGTTCCTGTTCCGTGCAGATCTAATCTGGAGGCCTACTACCTCATGCTGCCAGAGGGGAAATCCATAACCGAAGCCATCTTCATCAACCTTGTTGACACCATGACCATGTGTGAGTAGCTCCCTTAGGATCTTGGGTCCATAGAAGTAGCTAGATGGCATCCTCTCTCCCTTGTGATTCAATACAAAGTTTCGCTGAGCTGCCTCACATGATCGGGATCCATATGATGTAATTGGCGTTGTATTTGTTGGGATATGATGACTTGTCACTTTACGATCAAATTGTTCATGAATTATATTGAATCTCTTATGGTTTCTTTGCAACATAATTAAGTACATATTCATATATGCTTTCGAATCTACGTGTTGTTCTTTGGCCAAGTTTGACGCATAGATCTTCAGAGGAAGTTGTGCATGGTGATGGGTTCAATCTTGCGGTGATTTATACCCCAGTGGCAAAAAGGGACAAGACACGTATTGTATTGTTGCTACTAAAGATAAAATGATGGTTTCTTTATAGACTTGGATGATAGTTTTACTGACTATATTATGTCATCATGCTTATTTCAATGCCCTCTTTTGTTATGAACTTAATACCCTGAGATGCATGGTGGATAGCAGTCTTTGGGTGGAGTATTAGTTGTAGATGCAGTTGAGTTAATGGTCTACATATCACATACATAATGCCTATACAAGATTGTGCCATGAATAACCATAGTCATAATATGAAGATTGTAATTTAATTGATGTCCAACTGTAGTTTGTTCACCACAACTAATTTATCTTGCTTGGAGAGATGCCTATAGGGACACTATGGCCCTAGATCTATTGTCCCATTGTTAAAAACAACATTATTATTTTACTTTCCTACTATATGGTTTCATTTTTAATCTATTTATCAATTCCTACCATACCATACAATTTACCCTTGTAGCTAGCAAGACAAGAGGATTGGCAACCCTCTTGAATCATTGAAGACATGTTTGTTTAGTGTGTTGTGTCCAGGTACTTATCATTAGTTGTTACTGAAGTAATTCCTATTGGTTTGATAAACCTTGGTTCTCAATTGAGGGAATACTTATTGCTATATTACATCACACTTACACTTGGGGTTAGACAACCACTCCAATGAGAGAGCAAGCAAGATTTATGGCACCGTTGCCGAGGAATATTTTCCAACATCTATAGGTCCTAGTCATTACCACTTTGCTTTCTTATTATCTATCTTGTTTAATTACTTTTTATTTATCGTTTGTTTGCTTTGATGCTTCTCAAAAAACTCAAAATACCAAAAATATTTCAATGTTATCCTTATTTTTACCTTGTTATATCAATAGCATCATGGATATGGATTCTACAATTTCAGAACTTTTGAAACATGTTACATATTTTGAACCAATAGTTAATAATGAAGAGCTTATAAAAGAAAAGGGTATTGGGATATCTCATTGAATGAAAAGTACGATGTGAGTAATCATGATAATCTTTATGATTCAAGAGATGAAGATGACACACTTGATGAATGTATTACTTTTTTGGGATTTCTATTTCAGTGCCTCTCCTTCCTTATT